GGGTATGGGTTCCATGCCTGTGCCTGTTCTAGTCAATCTCCTCTACCTATGCTGTTCTATACTGGTCAGTTGCTCCTCATTGTCACTCAATATAAGAGGTAGACATTTTCCACTTGAAAAAGGAGGAAATGGATGCTCAGGGAAGGTAGAAGGCTGGCCTGAAGTTTCATAGCTAGTAAGCCACAGAGCTAATATTCCTTCAGTGACCAATATCCAAGTGTATTAATTACCTGACTTCACAAAGAGGTAAAATATCCTCTATGTTCATGATACTAAAGATGGCTAAATCTCCATGTTATGTAGAAAATCTAGTATAGGACCATAAAAACTCCTCAGTGAACAGAAGCTTTAAAAAAAATCAACTACACTTTTTTAAAAGAATTCCTTTTCTTGTTCTTCTAGAGCAATCTGAAAAGTAATTGCTAATATTTCAACAATTATTAAGAGACACTTCTCAATGCATTGATACTATAAAATTAAATCTCTAAGCAGAGCTTTCAAGCACCATAAACAGAAGATGGTAAGCAAGCATGTTCTATAAATAGTTCTTATGAGATTCCAGATTACCTTCCCAGTATAAATCTCTCTTTAATATACGTAAAACATCCTCCCACTCAGAGAGGTGCATAGTAATTGCCCTAAAAGATAGCTCACGTTAAACTTATTACATAGCATCCCTTTCAAAGGAATGAATGTTGCCTTACTGGTTTGGTTAGTTGGAATTAAATTTTGGATTGTGATGTGAGAACTTGTTCAGTGGAAATTTTGGACTTTGTCAGTGATACCTGGAATATGGGAGATATTTGATAGAAACTTGATAAAATCCAGACCCCTAACTGCACACTAGAAAACACACGTCATCTGCTACTTCATGTTACACAAATTAGAGAGAGGAGCAAAGATTGCTTCTGTCAAGCAAAGTCCTATTATCTTCCTCAAACAAATGAGCCATGGAGAACATAAGGGAGAGAAAGAAGTATCTTTTCCTTCACCATCACTAGGCTCATGGTTAAGATCCATGTAACAAAATATAGTTTAACAAGAGACCAGCAAAACTAATTTAGTAAACATTTTAGGTGATGTGGGAGGTTTCAGAAAAGAAGACCCAATGAAACAGGGGGAAACTATTATTAGAGAATCAGGAAGACATATGATTGGAGGATAAAAAGGGTCTGACCTATGGTAATACAGTGTGTGTGGGGGGGTGCACTTAGCAGAGTATGTGTGCTGAGGTGGTTCTTATCCTTCATGTATGAGGCAGGAAACTTCTGAAATGAGGGTCATGTGACCTACCTTTAAGGAAGGTAGGTCAGATCATTCTTTTACAATCCATTCTAGTCCAGGAGGGACAAGGCCAGAAAATGATCTTCCTGCTTGTCTGGTTTTCTCTATTTCCTTCTCCTTAAAATACTCAAGATATGAAGTGTCCTATTTGGGGTAGCAAGTTCTGAACCCCATCAAAAACAAGCACAGAATCCAGGTCCTTGGAGGAGACTTGCCTTCTTGGGGGGACAAAACACACAGCAGAAATAAAGGAACATAAGCCCAAGTAAAAGACAGAATTCAAATAAAATAATTGGAACAGGAGGTTTTAGAGGGCTACTCTGGGTAGGGGTCAGGGAAGGCTGATGTGAGAGGCAAATGGCTGAGAAGAAAGAGAGTGCTTCCCAAGCCTGAGGACCTCCAAATCACTACTGTGGTCCCCTGGTGGACGGCCATGTTCTACTACTGTTAAAACCAAAAAGGAGAGCTAACAATCAATTGTGAAGTAAGAGGTAGCTTTTTTCTTTCGAATTTCCCTTTTCCTGCTACAAGTGCCTTACTGAGCAAGCCACGCCACCCTTGCTCTTTGCAAAGCAGAATCTAAAGCCTCTGAAACAAAACCCCTCAAGTGGCATCATGTTCAAGAGGCTAACTCAGTGGTGCGCCTTCATTAACAGAAACAACAGCTGCTTCGGGGGAAAAGACCATTACTGGGCTTATTGCTATTACGACCCAGCGTGAGACAAAAATGGTTTAGAACCCAGGCATCAGGCGGAACGGCGAGAGAATCACACACAGAGGCAAAGATGAAGAGAACGGCCTCTGTGCTTCCTGTGGCAGCCTGTCAAACCCTGCTTCAAAATGTGCAACTGTGTGAATTTCAAAATATGAAATGCTCCAACTGTAGTCTTCAGAATCGGACAGCTGAACGGTAAGAATGCTGCTGTGCTCCCCCGAGGGGCTGCCAACTTCAAGACTGGCTTCCGTAGGTCACGGTTATATAGTTATCATCGCTTACTATTGAAGAACCATAAAATAGTGAGGCTGGTAAATTTCTGTACTCTCAAACAAATCACGGAGTGTATGCTCCTCCACAATGAAGCTTCCCCAGTCCCAATCACAACACCCCAAATTAGTAGATTTAAAATAAGAACCGAGAATCAACCTCTTATTGAACTACCACCAAAGTTAATTTACACACAGGTGGGAGAGGTCTGAAAAACAGAGACATCTTTAGATAAGTGAACTTGGCCTGAATACACAATTTGGAAGCTTCATCATATATTGAGCATGTGCATGAGAGAGAGAGGGAGAGAGAGAAAGAGAGAGGGAAAAAGAGAGACACACACACATATTTCTTTTAACCATCGTATTCCACAAAGGGTTTGCAATGTCCCCATTAACTCATACTAAGGAAATTATGTAATCACATTGGAGACAAGACAATTAAGATATTCCAAACAACATAATCTGTTAATTTTAAAGAAAATAACACTTATGGGTTTTTTTTAAATCAACTTAAGCTAAATAACAATGATGGTGACAGTAACTACATTTGGCAATTCATAGATAAGTGCTGTATATTGCTATAAGTTAAGAATGAACCATCACCATTTCCATCAAAGCTAATAAAATCATGAGGAGATTTTGGTCAGATAATTGGAAAGGTAGCAGAATACAACAATTACTAATTGGGCATTATGTAAAATTGTGGATGTGTAACCGACGTGATTCTGCAATCTGCAT